GCGTCGCCCGCATCGACTCCACGGGGAGTCACTTTATCGTTAATTAGGCGATGGGGGCGCTCGAGCCCTATTCGTGAGGGATAACGACCCCATTCGGGAGAGCCGGCCTCCGAACGCACTGGGGTATGAAGATGCCAACGGCTCAAAATGGGCGATAGGAAGGGGGTGTTACTCGGTCAGGTGTTCTTTTCTGGGAAACACTCCCGCTACAATTAGAGCGGAGGCTTAACCTCCAATCAAAAACGGTGCGGTATAGCACGTAGCGGGGGCAAGTGGACCATCATTAGTCCCGGTACCTTCACTCGGTTAACTCGCGATGAGTAATCTTTGAAGTAGTACGTGCCGGACCTCTTAGGAAGCAACGAACTGGAGCAGTTTTAACTGGTAAGAGCCTACAAGATTCTTTTGACTGGACAACGGGTATCAGCCATTTGGATACTCGATCGTTGGGTAGTTCTAGTAGCCAGCTAACGCAAAGATCGAGCGAGGACTGTCGTGGCGAGCGCACGTATTCGGGGGTCGCTCCGCGTTAAAGTTCAATTTTGGTGGGAAGGAGTGGTAGAGGTGTGGTGGATGGTGTTGTGAAATGGGGGGAAGCCGCGGGGGAGTTGAGCGGTGAAAGTTTTGTGAAAATCGGAGGTGAAGTAGTGCAGTTATAAATAAAAATCGAAATTTCGATGGAAGAAGAGACCTTAGAATGCAACCGTCTACTGACCGCTGAAAGTAGCTGACGTCGTTGTAGGAAATCGTTAAACCTTCAACCTGTTGTTTCGTTCCAGTGTGAGCTGATTAGTCGTGATTGTTTTACCGGCGATTGGTTGGCCGGTGTGTTTATTGCAGTGTACAATTCAAACAGTGTGGGTGCTGGATTAATCGGAGTCGGAGTCTGTTAGCACTAGGGCAAGATGGCCCAGAATTTGGAGCATAAAGACCATTTCTATGGCGGAGTAGTGTGGTGGAACACTTGCGGAAAGTAGATGCCCACATGTTCGGCTCCGGGGTCAAAAATGTAGTAGTTAGTCCCGCCGCTGAAGAAAGCGCGATATTGGACTCACTGGCTGTGGAATTTCTGACATCACATATATATTTAACCATGAGCTCAACTTCGTGACCCATAGTGTTGACATACTCATAAACGCTCGAATGACCGTGGAGTAGACACCTAGCACAGGTACCGGGAAGAAACGGATGAGTTGGGATGTTGAGCGCGTGGCTCCACTGTGGGTGGATTCCCGTTATAGCGTGAAAACAGTACCAACGAGCGAATTATCAATGGGTAAAACTGGCGATTTATTAACGAGGAATGATAAGGGAGCAAGGCTGTTCCATGATGACTTAATTAAAGCCAGTGCTCTGCACGGTGGGGCAATTGGTGATTTAAAGTTCGAGAGTATAGGTGCTCTGCACGGCATAGTTGCCAGAGGCACAGAATTGCGGATGTTGGCTTTAAAAGCAATATTGTGTATGAAGCAACTAAGTTTGTCATTTACTTTTCTTATTATCAAATTAGTATACGCGACGGGCTATTCTTAAACATCCCCCCCACGCCCGATCTTGATCAAACTTGACACATTAATCGGGGGATGGGTGTTGAATATGATGATGCAATACCAATCTGCGGAAACGC